CCCCCAGGCCACCATGTGCCTTTGTTTACAAACATCAGCTGGGTGTCGCGCGTGCGCGGGAACTCACTTGTAGTTCAGTGGACTTTTCACACGGGTCCGGCTCCTTTGGATTTGATGACGGATTTATTAATTAATGTGTTTTATCTTTGACCACACACGTCTAGCTGGGTGTTATCTGTCTAGCTGACTGTGTGTTTGTCTGTGTCTGTCGTCAAGGCTTATAGCATTTATCCTCTCTCTCTCTCTCTCTCTCTCTCTCTCTCTCTCTCTCTCTCTCTCTCTCTCTCTCTCTCTCTCTCTCTCTCTCTCTCTCTCTCTCTCTCTCTCTCTCTCTCCCTCTCTCTCTCTCTCTCCCTCTCTCCCTCTCCCCCTCCCCCCCCCCTCCCCCCCCCCCTCTCCCCCCTCTCCCCCCCCCTCCCCTACCTCCCCACCCAACCAGTCTTATATCACCTGGTTCACCTCTTCACCCTTCCCTACCTGACTCATCTACCTACACGACTATAGTGACTATACCTATCCACCCCATCAACACTTAATACAGGAGGCTTATATTAGCCTTTGCAATTTGAATCAATTCAAGTGGTTGGGGTGTTTTACTAGTCTCTCCACTCTATTGAGAATGATATTTAATGGTCACGACTTGGCTGCTCACTTGTATATCGTTACATGTGAAGACAGACAGTGGAGCGCCATTTTGCATGCACCGCGTTTGAATAATTCAGCATTGCATTGCTGTTTGATTTGCATTATAGAATTAGCAGATTTGTAATAAATATTGATTTGTATTAATTAGAAGATAAGAATAGTGTAGTGGACATTCAGTATTTTTGTGGGATTTTGTTTATGTGTCGTGTTGTGTATTGGGTTGTATTTGGTGGCTGCTTGTTTAAGCTACTCTCTTGTTCAGCACCGGGGGAACAACACACTAACTGCCATGAGTTTATACAGTAATGACTTAACGACCTGGGTGTGGCGGGCCTCAGAGACATAACAAGCAAGGAGAGGACAGCTGAGGAGTCCACGAGGGGCCTCTACAGTGCCAGAGGTCTCTGGCACTGTAGAGGCCCCAGTGCCAGAGGTCTCTGGCACTGTATAAACGACCCGTTGTTACCCCTGAGATGACTGTATTAAGAGAGTAAGGTGGTGCCACTGGTGCGATACACGCTGCAGTGCCGTGTGTATATGTATAGAATGTATTGTGAAGTCAATACCTAGTCGCAACACTCTGGTATCTGCTTAACTTAACTGCTTAAGAAACGCCCAACTTAGACGAGGCTTGCATCACAAATTACCTTTGCTGTTTAAACAAGGAATATTTTTACGTATATACTTTTTATCGGATTGGATTTTTTTCTTTTAAACGTTTTTCGGTAATTTTTTTTTATGTGGACAGTGACGTAATACATACAGTTCAATTCAGTTATAATGATATAACTGAGGTAATGATATAGTGTAAATTAAAGTTTGCTTTACTGCCCAAGCGTTTGGGTCTACCCTGACCTCACGTTCCAACATGAAACTTTAGGGAAATGGGTGTGTCATAGGTCGGTCGGGGTCGGCCCAAGTGCCACACTTTAAGAAATATCGGCATTTATATCGACCCCTCCCCCCTGCGATTTTCATGAAGTATGAAATCGAAAATACCCCCTTTCTCTTCCCTTTCTCTTCCCTCCCCCTTCCTCTACCCTACAACCCTCCCCCCTCATCTTTCTACACTCTCCTACCCCCCCCACCTTCCCTCCTCTCTCCCCCCTCCGCCCCCCTCCGTACATTCCTCGGCATAACTTGGCTCACCAGAACAAGGGTGTGCAGGTGAGCCATGATGTATGAAGCTGGTTCGTATCCCCGACGCCTCTGAGAATTACAATTGTTGTATATTTTCCAAACTAATTTAGTTTTATTTTATTTATTACAAGCGGTGGTACAGGATAACTGAGGGTGGTACAGGATAACTGAGGGTGGTACAGGATAACTGAGGGTGGTACAGGATAACTGAGGGTGGTACAGGATAACTGACGGTGGTACAGGATAACTGAGGGTGGTACAGGATAACTGACGGTGGTACAGGATAACTGAGGGTGGTACAGGATAACTGAGGGTGGTACAGGATAACTGAGGGTGGTACAGGATAACTGACGGTGGTACGGTCATTATTGTCCTCGTACGAGCTTACGTTCCTAAATTGTAGTTAAATTACCAAAACACTGAAATATTTTAAATTCGGACGATCCGAAAAGATATAAAAGTTTATAGTACCTGAATGTGACTTAATATAATAATAATAATAATAATAATAATAATAATATGATAGGAAGGCGAACCTCTTAAGAATAATATATTATTATCTTGTCCTTCAAAAGTACAGGAATAGTATTAGTTGTATGTTTGTTTAGTTTTGTTAACTGTCTATTTTTAGGGGAGTGCGCCTTAGTACCTGTGCAAGCAGCGAGGTGCGTGCAATTGCGTGTATGAGGATGTGTGCTGCGTGTGTGCGTGTGTGTGTGTGTGTTTGCATGTTCTTGAATATTCATGGGGCGAGGTGAGGCTGGTTGTCTGCTGGTGGAGTTAGGGAGGAGATGAGTGTGTGAATGATCACACGGGGTGTTTTAATGGTGAGTAGTGTGTAGTGTGTGTGTTCCTTCCTCTCTGTCTCTGTCTGTCTCTCTCTCTCTCTCTCTCTCTCTCTCTCTCTCTCTCTCTCTCTCTCTCTCTCTCTCTCTCTCTCTCTCTCTCTCTCTCTCTCTCTCGTCTCTGTTTTTCTCTCTGTATGTGTGTTCTCTCTTTGTCTTGGAGATGTGTCTCTCTCTCTCTCTCTCTCTCTCTCTCTCTCTCTCTCTCTCTCTCTCTCTCTCTCTCTCTCTCTCTCTCTCTCTCTCTCTCTCTCTCTCTCTCTCTCTCGTCTCTGTGTCTTTCTATATGTGTGTTCTCTCTCTTTGTCTTGGAGATGTGTGTCGCTGGTGGCCAGGGCTTGGAGAGGTGACCACCAGCGGTAAAGGAGCCCTCCACCAGAGGAAGGCGGGCTCCATCACCCCTACACCCACATATACTCGACGTTGTGTTGTCATGGACACACACATATATGCCTGTTACAGCCAAAGTATGACAGACATATTATATGGCAAGACAAATAATTGTTTTGAATTGTGATTATCAGAAGGTTGTACAAGTCTTACCTATCCCAGGATCGGCCGGAGGTTCACAGGGTTCCCTGTGGCACAGTGTTAATTAATTACAGGAAAATGCATGTTTAAGAAACCGGCACTTTAGATAATTCCGTTTATCCCCTTAATTATTAGTTTTCCGATATCCATTTGCCGTTTTCTTGATATCTGGCAGTTTACCCCTAGAGATGTAACATAGCTAAATGCAGATAACCCGTTATTTTGCTGTTGTTATAGAAGAAGTAACAACTCACAACGGTTTTGTTCAGTGATTGTGAAAGCAGTATATAAATCCCTGTTCTGGATCATTCTGGTCAGGGGTCAGGACAGTATTAAGTGCAGTAATTATCAAATTAGTCGCTTTAATGAGGAGTGGTGGCAGCGTTAATATCATTTAAGATGTATATAATTATCTTTTGTGATAACGTGAGCGACAGTTCTGGCACTCTCAATTATCACTCCTGTGGAGTGATAATCGTCAGGCTGCGAGCAGCCGCGTCTAACAGCCTGGTTGATCAGTTCAGCAACCAGGAGGCCTGGTCGACGACCGGGCCGCGGGGACACTAAGCCCCGGAAGCACCTCAAGGTAACCTCAAGGTAAGGTAACAGTGTACACCCTGTATACTGTATAGGGGTGTGCAGTGGTATTAAGGGTAGTTATAAACGGGTCAAGATAAGTAGGTAGTGATCATGTCTCCCCTTACTCGTAAAACGGGTCAAGATATGTAGGTAGTGATCATGTCTCCCCTTACTCGTAAAACGGGTCAAGATATGTAGGTAGTGATCATGTCTCCCCTTACTCGTAAAACGGGTCAAGATAAGTAGGTAGTGATCATGTCTCCCCTTACTCGTAAAACGGGTCAAGATAAGCGTGAGAAAGCTAGCCGCTACACCCACAATTACAGGTCTGCACTCCCTCAGACCCGCAACGTTTAGGTCTCTGAGGTCTGATGTATGTTAGCCTAAACATTGCATTTGTCTGGGTTTAGGTCTAACAGCCACCCTTCAGACAGTCTGAAGCGTGTGTAATTATTCCATGAAATTTCCCACTGTACTCTTGCATGTGTGTGTTTGTTGAAGCCAAACTGTGTTTGTTGAAGCCAAACTGTGTTTGTTGAAGCCAAACTGTGTTTGTTGAAGCCAAACTGTGTTTGTTTCCATGCACATACATTACATAGGCCTCCTCTATAGCTTTACCTGTGTGTATGACAGCACGCTATACATTACTATCTTATCTTGAGGTTATCTTGAGATGATTTCGGGGCTTTTAGTGTCCCCGCGGCCCGGTCCTCGACCAGGCCTCCGCCCCCAGGAAGCAACCCGTGACAGCTGACTAACACCCAGGTACCTATTTTACTGCTAGGTAACGGGGGCATAGGGTGAAAGAAACTCTGCCCATTGTTTCTCGCCGGCGCCCGGGATCGAACCCGAGACCACAGGATCACAAGTACAGTGTGCTGTCCGCTCGGCCGAGCGGCTCTACTAGGTAACAAATTACACGTGGGTTGTTTCAAGCGTAGGTTAGACATATGAATGGGTTTGGGTGGACATGTATACGAGCTGCCTGCCAATAGGCCTTCTGTAATTTACTTAAGTCTTATGTTCTTTTAAGTTACAATGATACTTTCTGGCTCCTTTGCCTCCTCCTTCCTTTATTCTTATTTCTTTCTTGGTTCTTCCCCTTCGTTCTCCCGACCTCCCTAACTCAGACTCCCGGATGTGAATATTTTTAGAAGTTCGTGAACTGACCTCAACATGCAAGTGATTTTTTTGTGTGTTCCTGTCTCTCTTAAGATGTTAGTAACACGCTCTGCCTTCTCTCCCCTTGTTCTCTTCTACCTGGACCCTCCTTCCTTGGTCTCTGGACCCTCCTCCCTCTGGTCTCTGGACCCTCCTCCCTCTGGTCTCTTGACCCTCCTCCCTCTGGTCTCTGGACCCTCCTCCCTCTGGTCTCTTGACCCTCCTTCCTCTGGTCTCTTGACCCTCCTCCCTCTGGTCTCTGGACCCTCCTTCCTTGGTCTCTGGACCCTCCTCCCTCTGGTCTCTTGACCCTCCTTCCTTGGTCTCTGGCCCCTCCTCCCTCTGGTCTCTTGACCCTCCTCCCTCTGGTCTCTTGACCCTCCTCCCTCTGGTCTCTTGACCCTCCTCCCTCTGGTCTCTTGACCCTCCTCCCTCTGGTCTCTGGACCCTCCTCCCTCTGTCTCTTGACCCTCCTCCCTCTGGTCTCTGGACCCTCCTTCCTCTGGTCTCTTGACCCTCCTCCCTCTGGTCTCTGGACCCTCCTCCCTCTGGTCTCTTGACCCTCCTCCCTCTGGTCTCTGGACCCTCCTCCCTCTGGTCTCTTGACCCTCCTCCCTCTGGTCTCTTGACCCTCCTCCCTCTGGTCTCTTGACCCTCCTCCCTCTGGTCTCTTGACCCTCCTCCCTCTGGTCTCTTGACCCTCCTTCCTCTGGTCTCTTGACCCTCCTCCCTCTGGTCTCTGGACCCTCCTCCCTCTGGTCTCTTGACCCTCCTCCCTCTGGTCTCTGGACCCTCCTCCCTCTGGTCTCTGGACCCTCCTTCCTCTGGTCTCTGGACCCTCCTCCCTCTGGTCTCTTGACCCTCCTCCCTCTGGTCTCTGGACCCTCCTCCCTCTGGTCTCTTGACCCTCCTCCCTCTGGTCTCTTGACCCTCCTCCCTCTGGTCTCTGGACCCTCCTCCCTCTGGTCTCTTGACCCTCCTTCCTCTGGTCTCTGGACCCTCCTCCCTCTGGTCTCTTGACCCTCCTCCTCTGGTCTCTTGGCCCTCCTCCCTCTGGTCTCTTGACCCTCCTCCCTCTTGTCTCTTGACTCTCCTTCCTCTGGTCTCTTGACCCTCCTTCCTCTGGTCTCTGGACCCTCCTCCCTCTGGTCTCTTGGCCCTCCTCCCTCTGGTCTCTTGGCCCTCCTCCCTCTGGTCTCTGGACCCTCCTCCCTCTGGTCTCTTGACCCTCCTCCCTCTGGTCTCTGGACCCTCCTCCCTCTGGTCTCTTGACCCTCCTCCCTCTGGTCTCTGGACCCTCCTCCCTCTGGTCTCTGGACCCTCCTCCCTCTGGTCTCTGGACCCTCCTCCCTCTGGTCTCTTGACCCTCCTCCCTCTGGTCTCTGGACCCTCCTCCCTCTGGTCTCTTGACCCTCCTCCCTCTGGTCTCTTGACCCTCCTCCCTCTGGTCTCTTGACCCTCCTCCCTCTGGTCCCTTGACCCTCCTCCCTCTGGTCTCTTGACCCTCCTCCCTCTGGTCTCTGGACCCTCCTCCCTCTGGTCTCTGGACCCTCCTCCCTCTGGTCTCTAGACCCTCCTCCCTCTGGTCTCTTGACCCTCCTTCCTCTGGTCTCTGCTACCTTGGTGTCATCAATATAAAGCCCCACAACACCACCAACACCAACATAAAGCCATACAACACCAACATAAAGCCCCACAACACCACCAACACCAACATAAAGCCCCACAACACCACCAACACCAACATAAAGCCCCACAACACCACCAACACCAACATAAAGCCCCACAACACCACCAACACCAACATAAAGCCCCACAACACCACCAACACCAACATAAAGCCATACAACACCAACATAAAGCCCCACAACACCACCAACATAAAGCCCCACAACACCACCAACATAAAGCCCCACAACACCACCAACATAAAGCCCCACAACACCACCAACACCAACATAAAGCCCCACAACACCACCAACACCAACATAAAGCCCCACAACACCACCAACACCAACATAAAGCCCCACAACACCACCATAAAGCCCCACAACACCACCATAAAGCCCCACAACACCACCAACACCAACATAAAGCCCCACAACACCACCATAAAGCCCCACAACACCACCAACACCACCATGAAGCCCCACAACACCACCATAAAGCCCCACAACACCACCATAAAGCCCCACAACACCACCATAAAGCCCCACAACACCACCATAAAGCCCCACAACACCACCAACACCAACATAAAGCCATACAACACCAACATAAAGCCCCACAACACCACCAACACCAACATAAAGCCATACAACACCAACATAAAGCCCCACAACACCACCATAAAGCCCCACAACACCACCATAAAGCCCCACAACACCACCATAAAGCCCCACAACACCACCATAAAGCCCCACAACACCACCAACACCAACATAAAGCACCACAACACCACCATAAAGCCCCACAACACCACCAACACCACCATAAAGCACCACAACACCACCAACACCAACATAAAGCCCCACAACACCAACATAAAGCCCCACAACACCACCATAAAGCACCACAACACCACCAACACCAACATAAAGCACCACAACACCAACATAAAGCACCACAACACCACCATAAAGCCCCACAACACCACCAACACCAACATAAAGCCCCACAACACCAACATAAAGCCCCACAACACCACCATAAAGCCCCACAACACCAACATAAAGCACCACAACACCACCATAAAGCCCCACAACACCACCAACACCAACATAAAGCCCCACAACACCACCAACACCACCATAAAGCCCCACAACACCACCAACACCAACATAAAGCACCACAACACCACCATAAAGCACCACAACACCACCAACACCAACATAAAGCCCCACAACACCACCAACACCAACATAAAGCACCACAACACCACCAACACCAACATAAAGCACCACAACACCACCAACACCAACATAAAGCACCACAACACCAACATAAAGCACCACAACACCAACATAAAGCCCCACAACACCACCAACACCACCATAAAGCCCCACAACACCACCAACACCAACATAAAGCACCACAACACCAACATAAAGCACCACAACACCACCAACACCAACATAAAGCCCCACAACACCACCAACACCAACATAAAGCACCACAACACCACCAACACCAACATAAAGCACCACAACACCACCAACACCAACATAAAGCCCCACAACACCAACATAAAGCCCCACAACACCAACATAAAGCCCCACAACACCACCATAAAGCCCCACAACACCAACATAAAGCACCACAACACCACCATAAAGCACCACAACACCACCATAAAGCCCCACAACACCACCATAAAGCACCACAACACCACCATAAAGCCCCACAACACCACCATAAAGCCCCACAACACCACCATAAAGCCCCACAACACCACCATAAAGCACCACAACACCACCATAAAGCCCCACAACACCACCATAAAGCACCACAACACCACCATAAAGCCCCACAACACCACCATAAAGCCCCACAACACCACCATAAAGCCCCACAACACCACCATAAAGCCCCACAACACCACCATAAAGCACCACAACACCACCATAAAGCCCCACAACACCACCATAAAGCCCCACAACACCACCAACACCAACATAAAGCCCCACAACACCAACATAAAGCCCCACAACACCACCATAAAGCCCCACAACACCACCAACATCAACACAAGGGGACATACACAAGTTACAGTAACAAAGTCACACACTTTTCCCTGTCACAGTGTATTGTTTGGGTGAGTTTTATGGCGGCGGTGTTTGTCCGGTGGTGAAAAGTGGCGTCGGAGGCATAATGCCGCCCACCTGAAGCTTTACCCTCACTCATGTTTTCCCATATGTTTTCTTTGTGGAAGAGGGGTGATGGGAGGGGGGGTAGGGTAGGGGAAGGTGTGGGGTGGGGGGTAGCAGTTAGGATTGTTGTTGTTGTTATAGATTCAGCTACTGGGAACACAAAGTTCCAAGTAGCACGGGCTATGGTGAGCCCGTAGTGCACCTACCTGGCACAGGAGCGGGGCAAGTAGCACGGGCTATGGTGATCCCGTAGTGCACCTACCTGGCACAGGAGCGGGGCTGTGTGTGAGTAGTTAAAGAATATGTAATATTCCTCCCCCCCTTCCCCCTCCCTCCCTCCCTCCCCCTTACCTGCACATATGTAGGTCTGGGGGAGGGAGGTGTTCCCGTGTTCTGTTCCACCAAACTGTTGTTATGTTAATAATGTGTTCTTGTTAAATATTGATTACTTTATAATTGTTAACTAAAAATATTGTATGCACAACATTTTATTAATTAATATTTTATAACTTTTCGATTGCAAAATATTTAACTTTTAATTACATTGATTTAAATAAATAATGAAAAAATACAATGATTTAAGGAGAGAATATAATAAAAATACAAAATATATAACTAAAAATATGCCATACATAAATAAAATTGCAGAATTCTCACACAAAAAAATATAATCAAATTATACAAATAAAATTAAAAATATAGAAAAATAAAAAATATATATAGAACCAAAACATCAAAAGATACAAATCAAACGCCAGAATATACAGGAAATACAAGAGAATACATGAGAATGGAATAAAACTATCAGGGGGGAAAGCGCCAAGCCATCACGACTATATAGCACTGGGAAGGGGCCAGGATAAGGATTAGGGATGGGACGGGGGGAAGGAATGGTGCCCAAATACTTGGTAGACAGTCGGGGGATTGAACGCCGACCTGCATGAAGCGAGACCGTCGCTCTACCGTCCAAGCAAGCAGAGATATGAGGAAGGTGGAGTCAGGTGAGCGCTGAGTGTGGTCACAGAGCCACACTAAGCAATATGGGAAGGTGCTAAGTACTCTGACTAATGTCGCCTCTTGTGTAAACAAGATGTTAATTACTACTACTGCTTTTGTCATTGTTCATCGCGTGTGTTTGTGTGTGTGTGTATATGTATATACCTACACATATATTGGGTCTTTCCTTCACCTTCATTGTATGCACTATTATATATGCACTATTAATTATATGAACTCTTTTAATTATTATATGCCCAGTGAATTCACTATTTTCACTGTTTAATGTTTTCACTTATTTTCATTTCATTCAATATCATCTTATTTTTAAAGTATAGTGACATCATTGAGCTTGTTCTGTACTCACCTAATTGTGCTTCCAGGGGTTGAGCTTCGGCTCTTTGGTCCCGCCTCTCAACCGTCAATCAACTGGTGTACAGATTCCTGAGCATTTTGGGCTCTAGCATATCTACGTATGAAACTGCGTATGTGTAATTAGCTAAGTATAGTTACAGGATGAGAGCTACGCTCGTGGTGTCTCGTCTTCCCAGTACTCTTTGTCGTATAACACACACACACACACACACGGGATCCAAGAGTCAATGCTCGATCCTGTAGACACAACTAGGTGAGTACACACACACACACACATCCCCAGGAAGCAGCCCGTAACAGCTGTCTAACTCCCAGGTACCTATTTACTGCTAGGTGAGCAGGAGCACCAGGGTGAAAGAAACTCTGCCCATTTGTGTCCGCCGGCGCCGGGAATCGAACCCAGGTCCACCGGACTACGTGTCCAGCATGCTGTCCACTCAGCCACCAGCGCCCTTAAACGCCCAGTGTGTGTGTGTGTTAACTACTAATACAACCATTGACCATTTTCAGAATGCAGCCCACAACAGCTGTCTAACTCCCGATACTCTTTTTACACTGCCTGGTGAACAGAGGCATAAGGTGAAAGGGAATCGTTGCCCAATTGTTTCTGCTCGGGAGGACTGGTGGAGGTCAGGACGCCCGCGGGGGTGGCACTGTGCCGCTCGTGTCCCAGAGTGTTGGCACTCTTGATGATCAGACTTGATGATCAGACTCATCATGAGGGGAAATGCTCTCTGCATCACCACTAGCTTCATTATTCTCAACATAACCACCATCTCTATCACCACCATCATCATCATCATCAATCACCTTCACTGGGCCATGTGTCTCTCACTATCGTACCCTCCCTCTCACCATCTTCCCCTCCCCCACCTCAACACAGCTGTATAGGTAGTGAGTGGTGCCAACCTGACTGCCGACGCTCAGGTAAATATTATACGCGTTCGTACAGAAAGTTTCGGACCAACTGGGCTGTGATGGATATGTGGGGCCTGCAGGCCGCTCGAAGCAACAACCTTCTAGATCAAGTAATCACGAGTTAGGTCTATCCTTAGGCCCGATTTTTGGGGGGAAGAACTCCAAGAATCTACTGTAGGTGGGTATCAGCCCAATTCTTAGCCCTCCTGTCCCAGCTCCTGTCAGTAAAGTTTTAAAATCCCACCACCAGGTACAACAAAGCTAGCATGCAGAATTAGACCTCCCTCACTTGTAGTCACTGTTAGGTAAGCACACTGCACTATCCACCCCCCCACCTCTCAACACTGCTTGCCACTACCCACCTCCCTATCAACACTATCCATCACTATTCATCACCTCGCCTCACCCACAACCAGCGTGTCCTCACTACTGTTGACAACCGCCCATCCCTGCCCCCACCC